AATATTCTAAAACATGTTGGAGTTTGTCTGTGGTTGGAATATTGAAATTTCGTCCGGGTCACGAACAAGCGCCCACAGATGTAAAAGCCGTCAAGTTTAATCGCGTTCGGTTTCAGTCTGTGGATTTCGAATATCCAAAGCCAAATTGGTCTGCACATCTTGTTTAGTTGTTATATAGCCGAGATACTTTACCTGCCATCTTGTGAATCCCATGCTTGCGTGTCTCTCTATCATGAACGAAATTCTTAACGAATAAAATTTAAAAAGTGTTTTTTTTATTTACATACTAAAGTGTATGTTTTTTTTACGGTTAAATGAGGAGAAGCCATAAATTCCTGTTTTTTCTTTATGCAAGACACTAATTAATACTTGTCATGAACTTAATACCTTTATTTTAAGCAAGTCATACAATATCACTATGACTACGGCTGATATGAAACATTCTAAACGTCGGGTCGTAGTTAAAACTAAATTATTTTATGTAATATTTAGCGTTCTGAAATGTTATAATCAATAAAACGTTTATGCTCAAACCACAATATAGGCTACTTTGGTTTAGATATTGAAAATTCCAATTTTATAAAGCCATAATCAATAAATGATTGATTAATACTTATAACTGGCAACATTATATCGAAGCCACAACATTCGGGCGGAATTTGCTCATCGCAATGTGGTTACGTATTAAATGCAGGCGGTTTCATCATACCTTATTTTAAACAGCCATTTGAATGCAACAATACTTAACCAATTTCAGATTAAATTAATATAAACCTTTTAATGGAATTGAATTAAAGGAAGTTACGCAATCATACGCATAACTATTTTTCGTAGCACAACACAGTATAATATGTTTAGATTCTAGAGTCTACTGATTTATTATTGTGCGCTACGCGCTACCGTAGCAATATGGCTACGTTGTAGCATACTGCAATTTAAAATAAATTATGTATTATTTGTAATGATATCCACTAAGAACCTTTTTACGGTAAGGACGTTGATTTGGTGAATGTACGCGGTTAGAAGTAGGCGAAATTTAATGTAGATCCTTAAAAAAAAATTTTAGGTTGCTTCCTGAAATCGGTGGCGAGTACAATAAAAACGAGAATATATATTATAAAAAATCTATTAATGAACAATGGACTAGTACAGAGAGCTTGTAATCATTCGTTGTCTGCCATTGGCGTGAGGCGAACACATTTTTCTGTCAGGTTAAACAGGCTTCTTGGCCAGACGCCTTCGGCGAACGAATTTATCGTTATGCGACTCAAATAAAAATAATTGCGTAAATACAGCAAATGATCGCCTCGTTTAAACGGTTAAACGTATTGCCTGGCTCGTAGGGTTCGAATCTCAGGGAAACAAAAAAAAAATTGTTTCGGTCGGGCAGGGCACAGAAGTCTGATCAACTACGTGCCCGTTGAAAGAACGGATCACTGAAACGAACACAGAAATGTGTTCGCCCCATGCCCCACGAGAAGGCTTTCACTTTTTAAATGCAGCAAAAGAATTTAGGTGTTTATCAAAATAGCTGTGAAACAAAATAGCTGAATGACCTGATCTCGTGCAAATCATTGCAATTGCCGACATCACGTACCGACACGCGAGCGTTGCATTTTGTACATGCTCTGAAATGTTTCCGTCCACGTTCTTCGCTACACTTGCGAGTGGTATTTCTAAAAAGCGATATAAAACAGCACAAGTTGCCATCCCATTTCTATATAATTGAGAAATTGTTAATGGTTGAACCTCCATTATAGCTAAAGGGAAAACACTTTGTCTAACATTAAACGCGTTAGGTTCTAGGTTCGAGTGACTGTGAGTCAGTTATAATTTTGGTCAGGTGGGGCATCGAGCCCCATTGCGTTTATTCATTTATTTGCGTTATATTTTTCAATCCACCTTCCAAAGTAGTTCTGTTTATGGTCCTGCAACGCGATAAAATTTGTTGGAGAAAAATATAGCGGCTGTTTTTTGTATGGTGACGCCAAGGCAAAATTTGTTACTTTTATATTACGTAAAGTAAAATAGACTTCATGTCTGTGCCGGATGCCCAATATTTAATACAAAAAATAATTAAAAGATGTAATTTATTATGATCCTAAGTTAAATTATACTATTTTTCTATTTTTAAAAACCAAGAGTTAAATACAATAAAAAAGGAAAATTATTAACTTGTTCCATTTCTACATTAAATAAAAGCACAAAAGCCTAATATAACCGTGCTTTTGAATTAATAAATAACACAACACTGAATAATTTGAAAAAACAAAGACGAATTGACTATGGATAGGCAATTTGGGACAACCAAACTCGAAATGAGGTGCTTATATAGACTTGTTACCACTACTTCTTGAAGACGTCATCTGAGAATTCCTCTAACACGGTTAAAATGATTAGCACACAATTATATAAATAAGTATCGTAATATAAATAAAGATATCGGGTACTAAATCTTTGTGTTGTTCTGCAATGGTCTTGCTTTTGTACGGTAAATATATTGTTTGCAGAGGCTTTTTTAGATATAACTAAAAATATATTTTTTTTGGATTTTATATTTTTAGTTCTTCTTCTGGAACAATTTTTATTAGACCTACTTAATAATCTTAAGTTTTCCAGTTCACTTAAGTTTAGTAAATACTCAGTTGAATTCTTTACAATTTCCTATCATTAATTTTAAAATGTTATGCGGTATTAAGACCTGATAGTCGATAGGTATATATCTAGTTATATAGCTAGAAAAAAAGTAGAACAGAACACTGGTGGAATCTTAAGTTACAAATGGAGGTTAAGAAAAAAACACAGCATAATTTTCATACTTTATTCATTCTTTTATGTAATTTTTAAGAGTTGTACAACTAAATAATCACAGTTGAAACAAAACATAACTATATAGGTATATAATTAATGTCTAAAATAAAATTACTCGTACGGTATCGACATTTTGACGCGTCCGTTGTTTGTACTGGGGTTGTGTGCTCTGCCGTCTTAATTAGTGTACTTACTGTATTTTAATTATCACCAAATATTAAACTAGCGAAGTGTAAAGTGCGTTCGTGTGTACCTATCTTTACTAGAGGCTTTAAAGCGTCCAGAGTCGAGTAGCAGCTGCGGTATTACTCGTGATGCATAAATTCTGCACAAACGTTTTTGTTTTAAATGTGAACAGTAATTTTGACATTACAGCGCTGAATTCATACAGCAATTAATTATTTTTGGTACGAATGTAGTGAAATTTTAAGGTACACAATTCGAGACAACGCAGAGCTTAAAGGAAAAAAGAATATCAAGAGTTTGTGCAGCGATAGCACGATTCTGTTTAGCGGAGAAAGTATCACGTTCATTATAAAAAAGTTCAAAAACTTAATATACAATATTCAAATGTATACGACAAAAATATAAAATCGGACCAAACCTATCGTATTTCGTCTATAATTATATGATTACTGGCAGTGTAATGATATTATAAAAGAACAATAAAACCTAGAATATCTCGGACTAACTATTAAACGTCTACTTACACGAATAGTAATTAACGAGAATTGCTTTATTATTGAGACCTGAGTATTGATCTTGAGTGCAAACTAGAGTGTACTTACAGTAGATGTTCGAAGTTATAATTAGGTATTGAAATAACCGAGTCTACATAATCTTAGGCTTTCGAACGCATAATAAAAATCAGTCATTTTAACATAATTCAGTATATTCTAAAATTTACACTGATTCTAATTCGATGTCGAAGTGAGACAGTGTTTGCGAAACCCTCAATATTTTTAATTATTATTTTACTATAAATTCTTAAAAATTAGATTTAAATTAGTGACTTCTAACGGTTTCGGCGACTATCTCACGTCAAAATCGATAACATAAATCTAGCACAACACTCTTAGTAAGTTATTGATATTTTTCTAGGTGCGACTAAATTTATACGTAAATATATGAATAAATAAAGTGCAAACACTTATCGCTATCTTCATTAGCTGCATCGACAAGAATGCTAAATTGGCACTGTCCCATTCATATCCGCGCAGAGTCAGAGGTTCGCAACCTTCCGCGGTTCTTAGCGCCGCGACGAACTAGATGAGAACGTCGGTCTCTTACGATCTCTCATTCGTTCTTACACCTGCGTATCACTCACTCAAATTACGCCAGGGCCCTGTCGTTCTATATACGTACCGTTACAATCACGATACGCGACAGTAAGACCCGTGATCATTAATCTACGTATTCGAATAACTTCGACGAGCTCAACAGTGAGCTTACGTCATCTACGTCAACTACTCTACATGGAGACTTCGGAGAGGAACACCAGTTACTGTACACTTAAGAAATTTTGAATAGAAATGTCGATTTCATGTATATTAAAACTAATAGGGGTAGATTTCTAATTAATTATATGTACATGCCCCAATGCATACGATTATTCCACATACTGAATGAGCATTATAAACTCGACGTTCGTACGAACGATTTCTATTAAATATTATCGTTAATATAAAATATAACATATATTTTCATAGTAGGTATATCGATTCGTTGCGGGAGGGCCGTAAGCGAATCACGTAAAGCTGCGGACTTACAAAATACTCGTATAAATTATTCACATTTATAGCACACTATCTACAAACACCCACTTTGTTTGCTCGTGGCCCTCCTACAGAAATCCACTTATCTCAATAACTTCCAATAAAATACTGACTCATAATATCTATGGCTAAATAAAAACTTATATCGAATATTTGGTGACGTAAGGAGAGCGCGTATTGTTTTAAAAGACATCCGAATGCCATAAACGAGTACTTAAGCAAACGTTGGAAATAATGAAATAAATGTTCGTGAGCGCAGCCCACACGTTAAGTGCGTATCGAATATTTGCCTAGCTTGATAACAAAAATGCAGGTGTTCTCCCGAAATAGCTAAAAGTGTACTAAAATAAAATGGGAGACAATTGACTAAATTTGCGCGACGTACGCGTATTCAGTTCGTTCGAACCAGCAGGCTTACAGCTGTTCGTCGAGATCGGGGCCGTACAAATCCGCTAGCTTGTCGAATCGCGGGCCCCAGGCACCCAAATAGTCGTACTCGTGGGTCTCATCGTCAGTACCTGTGAAAATGACTTCAATAAGTTACTGGGTTCAAATTACATACAAATGCATCGTTTCTACTTGTCTTAAAAAACAAGAACAATTGACCAGTGACTCACGAACGTGACGCCACAAACCATTGGAAACTTTTTCACAAAAAATGGCATTCTAAAAAAAAGTATATATGCATATATTTTTTTTTTAATCTATATAGTTGAAAAATAATAGAATAAAATAAACCCGTATATAGAAGCTTAAATACTATCTATTTAAGTAATTTTTAATATAATATATATAATATAAAATGCAATTAGTACTTTATTTAAGCAAAATTAAAGTTTTCGCTTTTGAATCCAGAAATATAAGAAATTACTACATAATATTACTATAGTTATCGTTGTATGCAAGCAACCATAACTATAGTAATACAAGACAATTTCCTCTCGTCTCGTGCTCAACTGCTAGATGTGTTGAAAAAAATATTTTAGACAACAGAGTTTTAGTCTAAAGACTAACGCTAATAAAATAACTAAAACCATGTCATTGCACTAATGTTATACTAAGTACAACAAACCAGTAAATATACCTTTTTAAATTGAATAATAATATTGCATAATATTCTGAACTTAGTCTACATAGAGATAGGGAAGTTTAAAACAAGCGCCGGTAATGAGCGACTTATCAAACGAATTATTCATAATCACGTCTTTAGCAGTATTTGTTAGTATTGCTTTTGCCACTAATTGCAACTATTGTATAAGCTTGCAAAGACTTGTCGAGGTGAATTAACTACTTTGAATGAACAGTTTTATTTAAAATTGAATTTCTTTGTAGGGTTGGTCAGTTATGTTTTGATTGCAGATACAGGGCAGTCGTATTTAAAGGCATATCCTTTTCTTTATTATATGCTTTTAAAAGTTAGTACAAACACTACTTCTTATTTTTTGTGCGAATTAACTCTGTCAGTTACTCTGATTGATTTGATCTATACTAATATATAAAGCTGATTTTTTTTTACATGTTTGAAGGCGCTGATCTCAAAAACTACTGGTTCGAATTGAAAAAATTATTAGAACATTTATCGAGGAAGGCTATAGGCTATAAAGCATTGCGCTGTGATTAATAGGAACGAACAAACAGCGGGTAATCTGGGATTTTTTTATTTTTGTGTTTCCGATGAGTACGCTGCGAACACGGTTAAAGATACCCAAAACATACGTATAATAAAATGATTCCTCTTAAAATTATCTAAAAATATGTCTCCGACAGTATTATATGTCTATCTTTTAAGATTAATTTGCAAAATCATCAGGACGCAGACGCCGTCATGGATACCAGTTAAAAGTTATGTAGATGAGAAGGGGCTTTAAAAAAGGAATTTTGATGCCCAAAATAATTATTTTATGTGCGTACGAAGTCGTAGGCACAACTAGTATTAACTAAACTTAGACCGAAAACATGGAGGATCGCGGTTGCTTGTTGTCACTTACCAGATGCCAGGGACGATAAAGACCCAGCAGTACTGCCGCCGCCCTCATACGCGTAGTTCCTCAGGTCGTCAAAAGGTGGCGCGTTAGGGTCACTGTCTGCTCGCCGTTTGTGATCTTCAATAAACATTCCCACATTGGTTTCGCCAGTTAAAGGGACTCCCATTGGGGGGGCAACGCCAACACTCATGGGTCCCACTCCCAGTCCCACACTCATTAACGGATCTAAAACAATAATGTTAATAAACACCAGAATTACTGTATAATGTGTTTTTACAATGAAAAAAATAAAAATATTTTAGATTAAAAAAAAGTAAGACACGGGCAGAACTGCAACCGATATCCACATCGTTCCATGCTCTAACCAATTGAGCTACTGTGTCCTATTTACTATAAGTTTGTTTTAATATAAAATGCTTGTCTCCATTGCTATTTGATTACTGTTTAATAGCTTAGCCATGAGAGGCTAAGCTATTAAACAGTCAGAACGTAATTTTCACTACTGAAAGTAATTAGTTGAAATTACAACAATTAAACAAACGTGTTCTTTATATCATTGTTTTTCGGGCTGTTCGGCCGATGTGAGCAGGAAGAGGTTCTCGACGTTCATCAGGATATGTGATAACAAAAGTGTTAAAAATATTTTTGCCACAGTACGCGGGCCCCTTGACATGTTATCTTTCAAAGGGATTGTTGGCTTTTGTATCGGTTTGTTTTTGAAACACGATGTTAAAAGAAGCACTTTATAACTGCCTAACTACACCCTGTTTAATACGAACAATAAGGTCGACGATTGACAATATAAACAAGAAGAAGGGATAACAGGGAATGTTTATTTATTATTCCTTAGTAGCTTACATAATAATACATATAATAATAATATATAATTTTTAAGTATTTTAATCATAAATTGGGGATAAAGACATGTCAAAATTCACGTATTCTATTAATACGATAACTATCATATTGCCTACTTTCACAAGACCAATTTTGTTTTATTATCAATTACTTTATATTGAACAAATTGGAATACTACATTGATACAAAATGTCAAAGTTACTATTCTATATTAGATAGGCTATATTTTTGTAATGTACTTTGCCCCAATATTATCATTTTCTAAATTCAAAAATAAAATACATAGTTTTCGTTTCACGTAATTCTCTAGTTGTGTATAAGACGAGAAAGTTCTCTAACCCAAAATCATTGAGCACTTTAAAATTACTTTACTTCAGTAATCATTGTGCAAAATTTTCAGCTTCTATTCAGATTTCATTACAAGGATGAATTATTATGAAATAGGGATTTCGTAACAAGCGCGTCTGACTTCTTATTTAATTTAAGCACGTTAATTTTGTACAAACCGAGAGGCAGCTTGTTATTTATATCTACGACATCAAGCTTAATACGGCAAATTATTATATACTAATGAGGCGAGATCTTTTCTTAAATCTAATACTTTTTTATCTGTTTCTTGTGTAAGGGGATTATTAAATAAAAGTAATAAAAAGCAATAAAGTACTCGTTATAAATGCTAATCCGCTGCGCAGAATAGTTAAAATCGATTTATAGAAATGGTACTGATTGAAATAAAAATAAAGAACGCCGTTATATCTTTAGACGTAGCGGAGAAAAATCCAAGGAATATATTATTACTTTATAAAACATCAGTGTCATTGCGAGAACGCTGAGATTTTTCCTTGTCTTCTTGTCGTTCACGGTTCACCGACAAGAATGACAAAAGATAAAAAATATTAATATTTAACAGAACATGTAATGTTGTTTGTGATAAAAGGAGGACGGGAATGTAATTATTTATTAATGAAAATATCTTTATTAAATATCACGTTTAATGAGACGATATAATTTGTAAGTAAATTTCACAAAAGTACCGCAACGATAAAAACGATTTAATTCGCTTGAATTTTTATAGACTGTAAAATTTTATTATTTCAATTTAAAACAGTTTTTTAGTGATATATTGAACATACGTTTTATATTTTTAATACTCACAGAAACCATTATAAATGGCAATTAGCCAGCACGCGTTAAGCATAGTTTTATTTTTCAATTAATTTTCTTGATGAAAAACTGTTTTGTCAGTTAGTTAAAAAGTAAGATTTATTATTGCGCTCAAGTTTTCCGGCGCTTCTTAAATGTGTTTGTTGTTTTATTGGGAGGGAGATAACAAATTGCGATAAAATATTTTATGAGTTGGCATTTTCAGTATTATTTATTCCTTTTAAAAATTGTATCGTTAAGTGGAAATTCTTAAAGAATACAAGAGTATTTGTGAAACAATTGAAGGAGTTTATAAAGTTCGAAAACATTTATATTTAAAAGCGAATCGTGGTCTTGACCTGTTAATCGACAAGGCGGCACGAAATTGTGTTTCTTATTACAACCCTTGCTTAGAAACATTTTATATAAAACATAAATGCACGTAGTAATAATGACGATGGGAGGCTTCAATACATAGTACAGACTTTCTTTTTATTTTACTTTTTCCTATGCAAAGATTGTGGAAGACATCGCTTTAGTTGACAAGGCTATCATTCCTACTTTGCATAAACGGTTTAAGATTATCTATGATGACGTGTCATTGAATGCAATTCGACTAATACTTACAGGGCAATTTAGTTGGAACGTGATCCGGCAGCGGTCCTCCAATAGGAATCTGGAGTGGTGTGATGTCGAAGGCGGTCATATCGTCTTCGCCACCACCCTCATCATCGTAGTTAATAATGTTTTCACGAACATCGTCATCTGGGCCTGGATATTTGATGTGTGCTTCGCGGCGCCGATTGTAAACCACGAATACCAGAACCAGAACTAAAGAAAATAAGGTAATTAATGCCAATAGTTAATAATATGTCTACAATAAGATTGGTTCAAATGAATGAAGAAACAATATTATTTAATTTGTTACATTTGACACTAAAGGAAACGTAACTACGTATCTAGCAACATGTGATGGTGTACAACACTAAATGTACAAATGTAAAATAAAAGTAACATGCAAAAGAACAAAAGTGCTCACCTAAAAGCAAAAATAAACAGACAATGATAGCTATAATGAAATCTCTGGAAGGCATGATGATTCCAGAGGCTAGGAGCTCTAATTCGCAGTCGTGTCCTGTGTAGCCGAAGGCACAGATACAGTCGTAGCGACGCGCCGGGTCTCGGTCCACGCACGTGCCCCCGTTGAGGCACGGAAATGAGACGCACTCATCCACGTTCACACATGTGCTGCCGGCTCGCGTCGAACCACCGGGACACCTATACACAGCGCGCTATACCTCTCGTCAAGGAAACGCGCGCGCACTGAGCCCCGAACATGCACTACTACACATATAAATATACTACTATGACAAGATATATATGAGTATATGCGATATCTACTTGCACCTTAACAGAATATGATTTAAAAAAAAGTTGAAACATCTTACTCTATGGCATGTTTACACATGTGTTCTAATATTAATCACTTAACACTAAACTTAATAGCTGGTAGTGTTACCCTTATAATTCATGTATTATTTAAGTCTCCATCTTAAAGTTGTCTGAAGAAATCGGTTTTTAGCATAAGCCGCCTTCTCGCTTCATTTTTTTAAATTAATTTGAAGCGGTCATTTACACAAATTAAGGTTAGAAGAGATCTAAATGTCTAAAATTATTTTGTTTCCTAATATAGTGCAAGTAGATATAATATATTGTATACGTGTGGATGTTGGTGCTGTTGTGAATTGGTGAAGGATGATGAGACGCTTAAAGCGTGGCTAGATTAGTGCTCACTCATGATAATTAGTAGGCAGACGAGGATGGCCGCAAGAGCGCCCATGCTGAGTTTGAGCGTGCGGCCCTCTTGTACGAGCTCGCAGTTTTCGCCCCAAAACCCTTCGGGACAGTGGCAGCGATAGCCGGGTTCTCGGTTGACACAAGAACCACCGTTGCGGCACGGGAAGTAGAGACATTCATTCTTATCAACGCAACCTTTGCCATCCGTCGACAAAACCAAACCCTCACCGCAACTAAACACCGTTATTGTGTTAAAATATATACACGAAAATGTTAAATATATTAGAAACAATATTACATTAAATGATAATTATAAGCATCTTTTAAAGCCAATCAGAGTAAGGTTGTTAGTCAAGTTAGTAATACTACATTTTTAATAATATATGTAAGTAAACGTAAATTAAAATATATTGGCAATGGATAGTTATAATAATATTATACGTATTAAGTTATTCCTAATAAACCTCAGTGCGCGCTTACAAAGAGAATATTATGACTTATATGGAATTTCGTATTAAAAAATCTCATTCAATTTGACTTAAAATAGATGAAGTTACTCACGTGCATTCATACTCGTTCCAAAGATCAACGCAAACGAATGGTTCGGTGCAGTGAACATTAATACAAGGGCTGTTGGAAGGACAATTGCGATCCAAATTTCGAGCCATCGTCGCCTGACCCCACTGTGTGCCGTTCATAGCGGGGGGTAGAGGTAAATGTTTTCCTTCTAAGCGTATATCATCCAAACATCCTTTCTGAAAGTCAGCATATACTTCGAAAGTTCTAACACCGGTATATTCCGCTTTACCACCAGCGTATACACCTTCTTGTTTGTCTACTAAAAGCCATTGATGACCTTCAAAAGTAAATGTCTCGTTGTACCTTCGGCCCTCGCCACCATCTATTTCAAGCGTTGCAGCGCTTCCATACCTGCTCACTCGGGCTATATGCCATTGACCATCATCGACAGCAACCGAATTCAACCACACATCTCGCTCTTCTGTTCTTAGCGAATTCAGATTGAATCTAAAGTGTAATCTAGATTCTTTTACTTCAAGAATTCCATATTCGCGATTATGTTGATCGCTCACTCTAAACAGTTCTCCGTGAGGTTCTCGTGTCCTAAACCGGAGTTGAATCTGAGTGCTAAATCTATCTGGTTCAAAGCTTAAGGCAAACTTAACGTAACTCTGCGGTCTGAAGCTTGTAGGTGTTGTGGGCAAATTGCACGACGGCCCGGTCCAACCAGGTTGACATTGACATCTCGCTTCAGAGAAACTACCAACACATGTTCCATGTTCCCAGCATCGAGACGTAGTGTCAGCTTGATTACAAATTTCTTCAGTTTGAGGGCAGCCTGCCACTGAGTTTCTGGATAGACCAGGATGCGCCAAATCATAGAGTTTGCTGTTGTGGATAAGATTTCTAATACAACCGTCAAATCCTTTTCCGATTGGCATATACTGCCAGTGATAATGTGTCGGGTCGAAATGTTCTATGTACAAACCACCGACTTGTAGTGGTGCATTGACGTTCAAGTATTCATTGAATGGCGGAATAGTTCCCGTAGCCTGACATGTCGAGTCATCGAATTCTGGTGGTGTTCCATCTTCCATTTCTTGTATATCGGCAGATTTACAGTAATCGACAATCATTCGTACATTTTCTGTATCCCAAAAAATGTCCAACCGATGCCATTCTCCATCGTCTAAGGGCTTTTTCGTTTTTACTCTCAGTTCTAATGTGCCTGAACCAAAATCTATGAGTAGCCGTGGATTTCCTCTTTCTAATTCCACAGATATAAAGTCAGATACCATGATTTCATCTGGTTCTGGTGGTACAATTGGACCGTTGTAAATAAGGACTCCTTCAGACTTTCTAGTTATAAAATCAAAACTAAGGTGAGAGCTGTCACACATCTCTAAAGATGGATACCAAGCCCATCCTGTGCCTCTAAAGCTACGCGAAGTTTGTTGGCATCTGGGACCAGTATAGCCAGGAGGACAGGAACACGTCAATCCGTATTTCCCTTCAATACAGCGACCACCGTTATAACACGGAGAATTGCGACAGGTTTCGGCTTGTGTAAAGTTTCGTGCACCACAGGTACACTCTGCAATAACATCCACGCGAACTCCCACAAGTGCTGTTTTGTTTGCATTTACCATATATGGCAAGTTACTTATATCTAGAACATTTGTACAGGAACCTTCACAAGCTTGATTTTCATATAAGCATTCGTCAATACCAACCATAGTTATATTTACTCCAACAGATCTCTCAATTTCCTCTCTGTGCATTAATACAATACCATTTAGTCGTATTGGTTTATAGTAATGTGCACCATGGGCTGAAAATCGGACATCTGTAACAGGAGGATGCTTTTTCCGTAGCTGAACACTAAATACATCTATATTTTCGATTTCAGTATTTAATAAATCTGCTAATTTATCTTTGAAAAAGTCCAATTTACTTCCTGATACGCTTAAGGTTTTATAGTTCCACACCCTTATAAAATCTTCATCCGATATACCCGAAATTCTTATAGATCCGGAATTTATTAATGCCTCATGCGATATCTCTTTTACGACAACTGTCACATTTGCTGGTACATCAGTTTGAGTATGTTTACGATCGTATACTTTAAATTTCAAATGGTAACGACCTTCTCTCGTTTTGTGCTTCATTTGAATCATCCCGGTCTCTTCATTTAATGTAAAGTTTGGATGTTCGGAACTCTCCCAGAAGAATTTTTTATCTGGCAAATCCCAATCATCTAGATCATAAACATACACTCTACCAATTTCAGTGTCTGGAGCTTGACCTTGGTAATTGTAAACAAGTATTTCCTTAGAACCAGGCTGCATTTTGTTATCGTTCACATCGCCTATTACAACCGTCAATGTACTAGTACCAGTCATTGCAGGATTTCCATGATCCTTAATAATAATTGGGATAAGATATTCCTTTTGTTGTTCTCGATCAAAAGATCTCAAAGATGATATTATAGCCATTCCGTCACCATTAGCACCTTTTTGATCTTGTTCTACCTTGAAAGAAGCTCTTATGATGTCATCTGCGCTTGGATCCAATCTGAACTGGAATGGAGGTCCATTGCTTTTAGATCTATCATCGTCATCGGTGGCTAAGATTTCAGCCACTTTTTTAGGCGTTATATGTTCAGTTAATACGGGTCGGTAGTCCTTCAAAAATGTTGGTGCATTGTCATTAATGTCCTGAACGATGACAGTTAAGGTAGCTGTAGCAGTTCTGGGTGGTAGACCATCATCAATTGCTAATATTTTAACTTGGTGTCTAGGAGTTTCTTCTCTATCTAAAGACCTCTGTATGCTTACAGTGCCTTCTTGATTTATTGAGAACTGTCGTTTTCTATCCGATGATCTATCAATGGCATAAGAAACTTTACTTTTTCCTCCTTGATCGGGGTCAGTAGCTTTAAATGTTTCTAAGCTTTTACCAACCTCTGCATTTTCATATACCGAAACTTCAATGTTTGCTCTTTCAAATTGTGGTTTATTGTCATTTATATCCCTTAATTTAACAACTACCCAAGAATAAGCTACATGATACTTATCATTATCATTATCTTCACCTTTGTCATTTACTTGTATTCTAAATCTAAAACCATTACTTTGCAACTGGTCTTCATAATCTAAAGGCTGAACAATTTTCAATGACCCAGTCCCATCGTTATTTCTGACCATAGTAAACTTATCAGCACCATAGCCGCTGTTTTCGATAACTTTATACTGAAATTTATTAGTTTCGTCTTCGTCATGAACGGTAACGGTAAGTATAGGCATTTCGGGTAGATTAGTTCCATCCGTTTCGTCTACTTCTGTAAACCACTCGTCTTTGGTAAACTGTGGTGGCATGTCGTTTATATCTTTGACGCGAATTGATGCCGTACCAGTGCCTTTTAACCCCCCACCATCTGAAGCTACTATTTGTATGGAGTAGTCCGGCGTTCGTTCTCGGTCTAAACAACAAACGGCTGTTTTTATAACACCAGTTTCTGGTTCAATTTCAAATATAGGGGATCCGGTTTCTTCTTCAATTACATTTTTCTCGATAGAATACCAAAGTTTCGCATTATTACTCTCTGCCGGATCATCGTAATCAATAGCCGTCATAGTCATAACAACCATTCCTGCAGTTCCGTTTTCAGTAACATTTCCGAAATAAACGCCTTGAGGAAAGATTGGAGCATTGTCGTTAATATCTTTTAGATTCACTTGAACATCAGCATAGCCAACAAGCCCTTCACCACCTTCATCTTGAGCAAAAACAGTAAATCTCCACTGAGGCCTTCCGTTTGGTTGATCACGATCTAACGGCTGCAAAAGGAACCTCATTTATAACAGCTTCTCGCAAAAGTGCAATTCTTAATATTTATGTTATGCAAAGACAGTTTATGCTAAAATGTTAGTGATCTCAAAATAATCAGTTTATAATCTAAATATGAACTTACTTTTAATACAAAAATTTCTCCCGTTGTTCGATTGATGTCAAATTTACTATTTGATGGATTGTCTGGATCGATACCTTGTCCAGTGAGGAAATAAACTATATTTTGTTGTCTGTCTTTGTCGCCATCAGTAGCAGTAACCTGTTGATTGGAATTACTTATTAAGATATAACTTCAAAGAAATACATTGTCATTTGTTTGTCTCAATTCCTTATAGCGATGAAGAATATTTTGATTTCATAAACGATAAACTAAGTTATTACTCAAGATAAATAAATGAGGTAGATACATTTTTACTTTATGTATTCAAAGTTAAATGCTTTAATAACTATAACAGTTACCAGTTTTATGAAATTGCCCCCGATAATATCAGATATTTGCAATCAGGATAATTAACAATTAGAGATCCATTTACTGCATTGGGTCGAATATTACCGTTAAATATATGGGATCCTGACTCTCCAATTATGTCGGACTAGCTGGAGGCTGAGAAATGATGAGGGTCGACGTTAGCGTAATTATGCGGATCATTTGTGAATCGCGCTGAATTTATAAAAGGTCCGGCATTAAGAACAGGTGTAGGAAAAAGGCAACTTGACTTTTAAACAGTCGAAAATATCTTGTACCTATATTTTTTCTTCTAATAATAGTTAAGCCTAGTAACATTCGATTACGTTTCAGTTAATCGCTAGAATTTGCCGAGCGCCCTTAAAAAGGTTGACCTTTTACGCAAATGCTATTAATTAAGTAAAAGAGACAAACAAAGGACAAGTTACGCCGAAGTAAAAATAACAAGGAATTGCTTTTAAAACATTCAAATAGAACATGCTCTAATGACACTGACATTTTAAAAGGCTACTCTACTAAGCATAAAAGCCTGGTCCACGCAATTTTTTCCCTTAAAAACTCTATACTTACCTTTGAATATTGAAATATCGCGATATAGAACTAAATCTTATTAGTAGTGGTTACTGGATAGGACAAGTGGACGTAAAATTAGTATAACTTAAAAAAATCAATAAGGAACAACAAGTCCATAAATCAGAACGGTATCATTTATTTAGAAAAGCTATTAAATTTCGTTTGGCAAAATATGACGATAGCAAGTGAAAATGAGAAATGGAAAATCATATTACTATGATTAACAAATGCCTGTGTTACGGACTAGCTGATGTAACTAAGATTAAGGATTTTAATGGAGGTTTAAAAAAAGTCCGAAATTAACCAATATTTACAAATATATTTCGCATATCTTGTTCAGAAAACAAAAAAGAAGGTTTATTCTGTTTATGCAATACAGGTGTAAGTTTAAGTGTCTGGTACGTGAGTCATTAATATAATAAAATAATTTTAATCACATTTAAATAAAACACACACGGATCTTCTCGTGACCACGGCTGCTGCAAAGCATTCGAAACGTCGGGCCGTAGTCAAAATTAATTTTAACTAATATATATATATATATTAGTAAAAAATATTTTTATATATAATTATATATTAGTTAAAAATATTTTTGACCGTTTTAAACCGTTTAAGTGTTTTATTTAAATGTGTACTGCTCGCGTAAACTATAGACAATATTTAATGTTGATCACAATTACCACCACCATAGAAACTGCGAAATATATAGATAAAATAAAAATAAACAAAAAAACCTGTATAAGGGAGTGAGGGTAGGGTCCGGTTTCTTCTAGTGCTTGCGTGAAATACGCGCTGCGGGAAAACCGCGGCGGAAGGTCGTTGATATCAAGTATGTGGACCACGACGCGCGTCGAGTTCTCGTTGCGTCCGTCCGACGCCACCAGTGTCAGCTCGTACTGCGCACACGCAGGCATTAACCCACAATCCACATGCTCATGCAACACCTACCGCGCTGCTTCATACAGCTATTTGTTTTTATTCAATCTTTATAATTACTGTGAGCCCTGAAGTTTTACATTGGTAAATATAAAATACCAGCCTAACGAACAGTATGACTTAAATAAAATACCAGGTAGTAAAATTTGTATGTGATCGAAATTAGCCGATAACGTAATATTTGAAAAGTGCCTAATACACAAGCGTATCTTTAACACATATTTTTAAGTACAATCTGTACTATACTCGAGTATAGTAAATATGTGTGAATAAAATATTTTGTTCAAATGTTTAACCGTTAAAATGTTTTATTTAAATTTTTTTTTTTATTTAATTACCAACATATTAAATTTCTTTATATATCTTTATACGGCCTTTGTTGCGTAATTATCACGTTTAATTCTAATTCAGTCTTTTGAGCGCTACAGTGGAAAAATCAATGCACTTTACCAATTCAATTTTGTTGTAGAGATGTTAAGAAAAATAATGACATCGTGGCCGCTTTAAAACTAGCAAGTAAGAAATAGTGGCTACAACGCCACGTTAAAAGTTGGATTTAATTAGTTTTGCTAGTTAGAATTTCGAGAAAAGTTTGAATCACTTAAGTTTCGTAGCACCAATTTTAAATGAGATCAAAATTCAGATATTGTTCTACAGCAACGCTATGGGATGGCTTATATTTTAATGAGCACTGTGACTTATTAAAAAAAAAAACTTACTAAATATTTAAATAGATTGGATCTAACGACATATGTCTAAAGAAATCTTTAAGGCATATCGGTGGAATACATATATAAGTGTGTAGACTTGAACTTTGCTTCTGAATATTGATGGAGCAAACATCGGGGCCGAGTTTGTATTTGAACAGCCCTACTGAAATTACTAATTTATCAACTATCGTATGAATCACTTTCTCAACAAATACGATCCGTTACATAACTTGTATGATTAATATAATTATTGTATTCGTACTATCGGTCGATCATTGCTCGATTTTCGGCCCCATAAGCCGAGCCGAGAACAAACAATCGGACACATAAGTAGATTACTTCTTCTTGTATAAGTCAAGCTAAGAAGAAATAATGTAATAACGGTATATTTGTATACATACACTACAACATATTTTGTGAATGAATTAGATATAGTCTTGTATGAATTTCGGTAGAGAGGTTATTTAAAATTTAAATAGCTGCTAACTTAAACAATACACCAAAGAGAATAAGTTTCTTTGTTAGTGTGATATATTGTATACAACGAAAAATTTGCATTGTGTATCTACTGTTGTGCTGTTCGTGTATTAATCTCTATAAGTGTGAATTTTTCACCCCTCTGGTCGCGTAACAAAAAGAGACGTAAAAGTGTTTTCTTTGCTTTTCTCGTTTTCGTATAAAAATCTTGGGTGCGTTTGATTTTTAATATATATTGTTCAAATAAATCTTACTAAACTTTAAACATAGTATAAACTCCGATTGTGCTTTGCAAACAGTTTCAACCGTATTGCAAAATTTTATCTCAAAATGGAATACCCCGCGCCTCAATGAACGTCAGTAGATATGGCGAAATCGTCGCGTTCGATGCAATATAGTCGATGGTAATTTCAATATCAATCTCTTACGTTTCAGCGAAAACCGGATATTTTCCATTATAAAAAGCACCCGCTGTAGATTTTGTAAACAAGGAAGACAATAACCATGGAATAAAAACACAGCACCTGCATCATGTCGCTCCCATTTACGAAGTAAAAAATTGCGTGGATTCTAACGACTAAAACGAAACAATACTAGCGCTCGAACAGTACTACAACGAAATAGTAAAAATATAATGCCACATCGAAAAATCCATGCCATGCAAAATAAACGAACAAAAACTCTAATTCAACCTACGCATTGAACCCACATGCGATTCTTTTTGAAGCTTAACGCTGATATAGTGAGGAATAGTTCAATAAAGAATCGAATGAGGCCCCTTGATCGAGACTAAGCGGACCTGTAGCACACGCTTGGGAAGATTGCGGTCGTCTTCTTCTGTGATTTGGGTTCGGTAAGTGGGTCTCTCGAAGACTGGAGGATTATCGTTGACGTCCTTCACATGAATCACAACCGTTGTGTAGTTTTCCTTCAAGTTGTCGGACGCAGCTAACCTCAGCTCGTACTGTCCGCGAGTTCAAAGTTTAGAAATATTTCGCACAATTTCTTAATTACATTAATAGTAACTAAGCTAAGCTTAATTTAAATTAATCCGCCTTAAATAATAGCTAATCTTTAATTATGATTAACGAAGTGATTTAAAAGTTAATCAAAGTAAAATTAACTTTCAGAAAGATTAACGAAGGTTTGATTACGAAGAAATTTCTTTTGATTCTAAAGTTAGACATGTATTAAGTAATTATAACTTTTATCTTAAAATGGGGAATTGGCTTTAGTCTTGTTTTGTCGACAATAACTTGTTCAAAGGATCGTTCGGTTGCAAATAAAGAAGAAATGAAGTGAACCATATTCTGAAGCAGATATTATGTTTATACGATGGAGTGGCTCGCCGAGTATTGTGGTTTGGACCCGAGGGAGTTATTGGCATCATCTGTCAGTGTCACTCAGTAATTTCCACGACGTGGCGGGAAATGTTTGTTTCAAAAGTCATCTGAGGCATTTCAAAAGTTAAACTACACCGAACACTATAATTTCCGTTTTGGACTGAAAGTTGTTAAACTATTATTTTTCTGTATTTCAATACAATTTTTGTTTTAGACTTTATTCTAGATCCTACATTTTTCTTCAGTCATTTCGTATCTAGCAATATGCTCATGAGGTTTTAGCTAAGTTCACAATTAACGACGCCTGAAAAGATCTATATTTATATGGGACCATATTATTTTGGAAATTTATAAATATTTTCTCTACGAAGTGTAAATGTTTTGTAATTTTATCTCGTATAAAAGCAGCGGAAAGCGTTGAAAATTTAAATACAGATTTCGTAATTTTGTGAACGAGGTAAACTGAATACAAACATATTTTTAAAACATTCCACAAGTATGATATTGAGAGTAATTGTCACTTTCCATTACATCTGCCGCAGTAAAAGGAATTTTGTCGCGTCCATTTCAACAAAATGGTGCGCATTTATTTTGAATTCAAACCGGATAAAAGCGGAAAGGAGTCTGTGAAAATAAACTGGTTTACATCCATTTAAGCTCTGAGGATCTGCAATTTAATAGCAATCCGGCCTCTAGTAGTAGCTCTGAGCCGGCTTGCTTAAATGGGTATTAAAGATTAAATTATTTATCTCGCGAAAAGTTCGACGAAACTTCCTCCGGGATAACAAAGAGCTCTTATGATAGCCCGGAAGCTCGGTACCTTATCCCGGGGCACTGGATCGACCCGCCAGCATTGCTTAAAAAGCCGCTCGCGGACGGCCAAACACTTTGTTGAACAATCGTTTGCGCGTTCATTTTAGCGTTAAATTAGTTTCTAATTGTTAAATTTTAATGAAACTATGTTATTGAAAGTGTGCTTACAACTACTAACGATGCTAACTAAAATGTTATAGTTACCATCAACGATTATATCTCGTTCTATTCATAGCATATTAGTAAATATGGCTATGTTTTGAAAACTTATATGCGATCGGTCTATCAAAAATCAAATATGGGCCTACTTCTGTAAATGTTATTTAAGCAATATCCTTAATAACATGATAAATAAATTTTTTATTTTCTTGTACATAGATGGCAACAATAATATTTTATACGACGGTCTTTGAGTTTATTTTAGACAGAAATATGAATATCGTCGTATTATACTTACTCTTTTTCTAGTTTCGTAATCTAGGGCTCCCGCGACATAAATGGCGCCGGTCATGTTCTTTACAGCGAACGCTCCACCTATGTTCCCGCTCGTAATCTCGTATCGAATACGCGACGCTGAAACAAACACAATAACAATTACCAAATATTCACAACAAGAACAAGATTATAATTACTAGTACTACATGACACAGAAAATGACCTGTTTGTGACATACAGTTTTGATCCGGCAGGGCACAAAAATTGGATTCCATCGGAGTATATATATTATATGTTAAAAAATAAGTGTATGACACATCCACTCGCGACTAGCCTTCAATATTGCTTCAAACCTTTCAATAAAGTATACGAGATCCTTAAATAACTCGAAAAACTTAACGCTTCACAGCACAAAACCGGTTTGAAATATTATAGCGCTTTCTTGAAGCGAGTAGGTACCTTCTCGTATTGAGAAGGGGAGTGAAAAATTGAATTCCTAACAGATTTATGACTTAACTGTTATAATATGAGAAACGTCTCTCCAATTCTAGAACTTATGTAGTATTTACGAAAACTACTCGCAGATGAAATTGTCTTTTGAAATTCAAAGAGTTGAATATAAAATAAAAATATTGTGTAGAAAAAAAAACGTTATTCAATTGTTATGTAATTATGTTTAACAACAGATTCTGAGAGTTCTCAGCTATTTTAATTACCATATAATTGTTCCAATAATAATGTAATCGCATTACTTTACTTGTGTTGCGGTTAGATCATACATAGGTATATCAATTATGTAAGAAACATAAAATATTGATGTTAAAATACATATCTTCTTTACTACTATTTTATAGCTTTTAACTATAGGAAAAAGTCATGAGAAAACCGTTCTTCTAACTGAAATAAAAAAAACGTATCGTTGACGTCATAGGTTTGAATCCAACACTCTCTTAAGTCCGCATTCCAACCGTGGGATAGCAAAGGACTGATGATATTATTATAATATATATTCTATTCTGTAGTATTCTAATAAATTATATGCCAGCGTAGGATCAAATGAGAGCTAATCGTTTCAACGTATCTTTTCTAAGTAGTAATTGGATTTCCATTACTAGTAATGGTTTGGGCTTCGTAGATAAGTCCACCGACGCTACGCGTGGGTACACGGTCGTTGCCTTTCAAATTTCCTTTACATTGATTAAGGGACCATGAGAATAATGTTTAACGTCTATATTGTAGCTACACATTACTATGTCTACTAAAGATAAGAAATATATGTTTGAAAACAAATGACATCTAAAACTTTTTAATGAAATACGTTTAGAGCATCATTAGTGTTTCTTGATTATTGAATTAATCTATGACATAGACAGGCCTAGAATCCATAACCAACTTTAAGCCGAGAGAGATAGACGTTGTAGTTCAGTAAACGGTCGGTTTTGCTGTTGCTCGTAGGATGAACGAACGGTTTTAGTTTACGCGTCTTTAAGTGTTTTATTAAAATGAGTACCTACTACTTGTACTCGTTTTATATAACACTTTAACGGTCTAAAACGCGATATATTTTGATTTGTTTGTGTTGTGTGTATCAAACTGGTTTGAAAATTATTTTTAACTACGGCCCGATGTTTCGAATGCTTTGCAGCAGCCGTGGTCATGGGAAAACTTCCCTCGAGCTGCTGCGTGGTCGCGGGGAGTGAAAATATATTGCGTTTGAAACCGTTAAAGTGTTTTATTTAAATACTTACTTTAATTAGATAAAAATCATTACTCGATATTTTAGTTTATCATCACCACTACGTAATTCGCAATTAATCACTTTTAATGCAAATTAATATAAAAGTATTTCCAAGAGAGGATGTTACATTAACAATAGCGACATTAGTCCGACGTTTTTACAAACATTTATTTGAAGTGAAATATTTCGTAAAATGTGTAGGTTACAATAATAAAATACAATAATCTAGACACCTGAATTTTGTACAGGACCGTTTTAAAGTATGACACTTAAATGTGATTGAAACGGGTCTACACTCTATTGTCTAGGTAGTGTTCTTTGCGTCTTTTTTAAATTGAAATCTACCTTAAAATATAACGTTGGAAACGGTAAAATGACTCGTTAGCGAGTTATACTGCAAACGAGGGATCTAAAACCGAGGCCGGTGTAATTGTCTTGCCTCTTGATTCAATTCTTAAATCCTTTTTCCTATAAGACAAGATTAGTGGAATGCATGGGTTTTAAACTAGCGGTGTTCGATCCCACCAGATCCAACATGGTTCTATTAATTTATAATTATTCTGAAACATACTTTAGTCTCCCCGTGACCACGGCTGCTGCAAAGCATCCGAAACGTCGGGCCGAAGTTAAAAATCATTTTTAAATAAGTTTAACTAATATATCGCGTTTTAAACCGTTAAAGTGGTTTATTTAAAAAATATTCTGAAACATGATAGCCTTCGTCTGGTAATTCGTAAATTAAATATGTGGTAGGAATTTCTAAACTCCGTCCGGGTCACCACCGTAGACTGGTGTAAAGCCTGGTGAAGTTTATTCGCGTCTGTCAGTCTGTGGATTTCCGAATATCCAGAGCCAAAATGGGTCGACAGCGTATCGTATTATATAGGTGGGGTATTTTATTTTCCATCAAGCTAACCCCAAGCTTATCTATTCTCCTCTACCATAAAAAAGACGAGCTGTCTCCTGCATTAGTTCCACTCATTGTTTTGATTAACCGACAATCTTTTTACTATATTACACGAGAATCAAACCTACCATGCTAGGAAATGCGTTTTACCATTGAGCCATGGAAGCGGTTGGAATGTAATTAAAAACAACATTAATCCATGTAATATATGTTTGTAGATTATATTATGTTAGGAATCTGCGGGTTTTCAGCGTATTATAGTCGACGCACGGCTGCTAATGAATGAATACCGTCTCAGACTAATTGGCCTATAAAGACCCACACTTCTGCGTCTTTCGCGTTTAACATTTGTGTAGATATAATGTACCCCAAGGCATAAAGTGCTTTATAAATATGGTTTATTTAATGAATATTTAACAGACGAAGAGGATTTGTGTTGAAGTATAATGAATTGGATTCTTTTAAACGACATCAAGTGGAATAAAAGCTAGTAGGTTGTAGACAATTATAAAAAAACAAGTTTAAACTTAATTTCCCATAGAAATTGTCTCTAAGTGTCCAATAAGAGATGACAAGGGTCACTGTTTCTTAATTGTAAGTCTATTTACTAAGGTTTCGCCCAATTTCTGACCGTTAAATATTAATGTAATAAATATTTGAAATGAAATTATATTAATAAATGAAATTAATACTAAATTGGTGGTAGGAATATCGAAAATTCCGTCCGGGTCGCAAAACACCCACCACAGATACAAATGGCGCGTTCATGTTTCGGTTTAAAAAAGGGTCGACAGCACATCTAGTTTAGATGTTATATACCTGGAGTATCATACCTTCCATCAAGTTAACCTTAAGCTTGTCTGCAGTCTTCTATCATAAAAAAATAATCGTTGGATAAGTCGTTCTTTAACAATAGTAATTTGGAATATTCATAAACAGATCACTTTATATTTCACTGAATTATTTATGTAATGGCAAAGTTTCCGAAGCCGTTTGATAAATGCTTTCTCGTGAGGAATATGCATAGGAATATAAAGTGCAAAGGTTATAGGCATCTACAATGACTAAGTGCACTCCTGAAGCGAGGGAACTTAATGATCACACTAATGGTTGACGACAGCCTCTTTTGTTACAACCTCCGATCGAATCGCTAACCGTCAGCCATTATTCGCCATTATAACATAGTTTATCTATGAGAAGAGACATTTATAGGATACTTATATAAAAATTTTTAATATATCTGTTGTGGATCTTGTCTGTTTTTGTCGCAAATTTATACTAATATGGTGAAGGTAAAGGTTGTTTGTTTGAAAGCGCTAATCTCAGGAAGTACTGGTTCGAATTATAAAATTATTTTTGTGTTGATAGATTTTAATAGGCCGTTTATTAAGAAAAGCTTTAGGTTATCACACTACACTTTGCGACCAATAGGTGGGGAAGAAACAGAGGGAAATGTGGGAAAAATGAAAAAATACATTCATTTTTGTGGGTTTACGTTGCGTGTGCTGCGAAAACGGTTCAATAACCCAAAGAATATGTATGAAAGAAATATTGTTCTTGAAATAATGAAGAAATAATATGAAAACCATTTGTATCATTTGCCAGGTCAGATAATTTTTTATAGTGCCTACTACCCGGATCTTGTTGCGTGTACACTAAAAGATTAAGCTTTGCTGGGCCAAATATTAAGTTACAATCGGATGTAAATTTAAACACTTTGTGGCTGCAGACATTTATAGGACACCTGCACAATTTACTATTTATTAATTTCAACATTTAATTTAAATATATAATATTGGTCGTCCTGTGATCGAAATGTGACCATAATTAATTGAAATTATAATTTTGTATAGCTTATATAATTAATTAATTAAATTGCGTATCGAATTATGTTAAGACAAACAATACGATTTTATCACAAAATTAATAATAAAACGAGGACGGTATTTTTTATTATTTTTATTATTATATTAATGAATGTCATTATTATTATATAACAAACTTGCTGAGTCAGCGACTTTGTCTGCAAGAATCGTTATTATGGGCGTCCCAATCCATTTTTGCAAACCCTTTTATCTTTACAAACTTAAGCTGTTACTCACGACGTCGGTCGCGTCCCTTCCCGTCGTTCTTGCAAGTTAATCTTAAAACATTGACATATAGCGTCGCGGACATTTTTTGGACCGTACAAAGAATCATTCTTACATACATATTTTTGGGGTATCTTGCACAGTCTTTACAGCGTACGCCTCGGAAACCCATAATGATGAATAATTAAATTGAAAGAAATGTTATTCACATTTCTTGTTGTATCTTCACTTGTATTAGTCACAGGGCAATGTTTTACAGCCCTCCTCGGTAAATGCTCTAACCAACACAAAGAAAGAAGTTTTCAATTCGAACCCGTAGCTCCGAAATTAGCACGTTCAAACAAACAAACTCTTCAGCTTTATATATTAGTATAGATGTCATATTTCTCCATCCACCAATTGTCCAGTCTTGGCGTCACGTTTGTATTTATATTATAAGAGCCAAGTATTATTTTAATGAAAATAAAAACCGATACTCCAACACAATTTTTTCGCTTCGAAAAACAGTTTAAAAATAGAAGCTTTTCGGTATATCGTTCA